CAGCCCACATGTTTCCTTCTGTTCATATAAGAAAGCAAGGTCCCATTGAGATGCATGGGCATGCTAGGCAGCTAATCGTTTTGCATCCTGCCAAAGTAATACTCTCTAGAAGTGTTTCCAGCTGCTCACTGTGTGATGGAAGAACCAAAAAGGCAGACCACTGCAGGTATGGTCAGCCTCTTCCTTCTTGTTCCCAGCCATTCTGTTCTGCCCCAGACTTGCTTGCCCTACTCAGCAGACAGCAGCCATGCATGGATTTGAGTGCATCAGCACTGAGTTAAATAGTATCTCCGCAAAATTCATGTCCATCCCACATCTCTGAATGTGACCTTATTCGGAAGTAGGGTCTTTGCAGATATAATTAGTTAAATTAAGATGAAGTCATTCTGGATGAGGGTTGGCCCTAATCCAATGACTGGTGTCTTTCTAAAAAGGGAAAACAGAGACACAGACACACACGTGAGGAAGAAGGCCACATAAAAACAGGCAGAGATTGGAGTCGTCCCAGCAAAAGCCAAGGGATGCTTGAGCAGACTCCCCTGCAGAGTCCCCAGAAGGAACTAACCCCGTTGACGCCTTGCTTTTTAGACTTATGGCCTCCAGAACTGTGAGAGAATGAATTTCTGCTGTTTTAAGCTTCAACTTGGCAGTAATTTATAACAGCACGCCTAGGAAACCAACACAGCATCCTTTTAGGGAAGCAGTTTAAAGCCCGGGACCATTGGCTACTATGGGGGCAGGCTTCTTGGAGGTCCTACCAGCACCCAATTCAGTTTTTCAAAAACTTTCTTCCAATCAGATGTGTTCTGGTGAGCACAATTCTCATCCTGTTACACTCCCCCCAAGAAAATTTTACTGTCCTCAGTTCCCAGGGTGGCTGCCCTACTGAACTTCTTTCTCTCGGGAGCCCCAAATGAGATCTGCTGGAACACAAGCAGGCACACGGCTGTCACTCACTCCCTGTGGATTACGAGACTCCACTGTGCGCCAGAGCTCCTGGCCCTGGCTTGAATACACCCTGGGCTCGCCTCATCGACCACAGGAGCTACCACCATCAGAGGCGAGCCAGCTGGTTTAAGGGCCCAGCCCAGCTAACCTCCTTCTGAAGGCTCGCAGATGAAGAGGCAAGACCAGGCTGGGGCCCTGTCCTCCTCCCAAGGCAGCAGCTGACACTGGGGCATGAGGCACACTCACTGGGTCCTTATTCTCTTGATCTGTCCTGGTCTCCCTGATGTCCCCGTTGTAGGTCGAGGTCCGCTGATCCTCGGCCGCACTCCGCTGCTGCCACAGAATGGCCTCTCCCTCATACTCCTTCCTGTACAGGTTGGTCCTATCCGACAGGCTGGCTCGACGCACCACCTTCCTGAAGGGAGAGAGGGGGATGCTGGAACCTGCATCTGGGCACCAGATGCATGAGCATGTATGGGAACCCCTGGCTGCGCAGCCCCTGACTTACCCACGGCTGCCTGCACTGGACGTCCTCCGGCTCAAGGACGACTTGTGCCTCAGCTGTGACTTCATGATCACGTCGTGCTTGTGTTTTAGCTCCAACAGTAGGACCTTGAACTCCTCCTCCTCACACAGGTCTGAAATGGCAGAGGAGTCTGTTGAGGGGGCCCCTCCAGGCCAGAGGAGCTACCACCCCAACCCACCGAAAACTCCCAGCATCCTTTGGGACACGCAGAAAGGAGAGAAAACGATGCCAGCTTTATTTTCTGGGCTACAACCCAATCTTTAGAGGAGACTAAGAACAGGAAACCCAGATTCCATGCACAGTCACAACTCCTAAGGTTCACAGCTATGACCAAAGGAGTCATATATCTTTGATAGTTTCCAAGAAAAGTCAATCAACTCTTCACTGACACGAAAAGTATCAACAGAAACAAGCATGTACCTCATGTAGCCCAAGCAAGAAATTATTCAAAGATGCTAAAATTCTATATCCTTACTCACTCAACCCAACTGATACTTCCATTCATCTATCTGTTCACAGACCTAGTCATCCATCCATAGATTCATCCTCTACCCATCTATTCTTTTATTCATCCATCCATCCATCTATCCTTCCATCCATCCATCCATCCATCCATCCATCCAACCATCCATCCATCCATGTGTGCATCCACTTATGCATACATTTATCTATGTATCCATCCATCTATTTATCCATCCATTAATTTATTTATTCATACATCTATCCATCTAAAGACCAATCTAGCATTTATCCAACCATATATTCATCCATTTATGTCTCTACCCATCCAGAAATTAATGAACGCCTATGTGTGTACCAGGTGTTATGCTGGACTTACCTATTGGCATCTCATCCATGGATGTCCTAGCACTGAGACTGGCCCCGTGGGATACCAATAGCTCTGCCATCTGCATCTGAAACATAGGAAGAAGCCCATGTTCCCTCTGCCTCAGGCTCAGAAAGCCTAGGAGGTAGAGAGTGCTCACAGCTTCTTAGGATGTGACCCAAAGAATGGCAGGGCAAAGTTGATTCTCAGGGAAGGCTCTGCACCCTGGGCCAGAAATCCTGGGATGCAATATACTTGACACCTCCTCTAGCATGCCTGCACCAAGGGACAGAAGAAGAAGGGTCAGCCATAACTCTGGAGCTGTCAGGTGTCTATGGAGGGATTGTAAAAGCTACAACCAGAGTTTTATATTTGGGAAACAAATGCAGAAACTACTCAAAGCAGAAACGCTGGGAATTTTCTAATTTGGCAAATTTGATTATCATCCCGTTAGAAAACAACTTGTCAAATGTTTTTGCAAACTCCCTTGGCCTTTTTTATGTCCCATAAACTAGCTATAGTCAACACCTTAAGTGGGTCTTCTGTTCTTTTGAACCAACTGCCAGCCTGAAGGACAGCAGGTTGACCCTGTGCTGGTCTCCCTCAAGGCCCTGTGGGTGAGAACTACCTGTCCCCAGAAGGCAGCCGCGTGCAGTGGCTCCCAGCCATCCCAGTCTTTCACATCCACACGCACTCCGTGGTCCAGGAGGAGCTCGGCTGCACGCAGGTATCCATTGGCTCCAGCTATGTGCAGCTGAAGGAGAGGAAAGAAGGGAGCAATTCCCTAGGGGCTGGCCCCACATTTCGAGGTGAGATAACTCTCTCCCCAACCCAAGTCCCTGATCATTCTTGGGGCCAGTAAAATAGAATAGAATGAGGTGGAAATATCAGCCACATGGAAGAAGGCTATTAAGGCTGCAATGTGGACCTAGAAGGTAAAGCAGAAGGGTGAGCTCTTCCCCCCTGTGACTGGTCTTAGAGCCACTGTGGTTACGACAATAGCATTTACTGAGTCCTTACTATGCGCTGAGTCCTGTAGAAGGGGTCTCAAGTCCAACATGATGGTTTTAAAATATGTCTACAAATTCTTTCCCTTTAAAAGATGGAGCTTAATTTCTCTTTCCTTGAATATGGGCCATATTGAGAGACTCTCTTCTCACAAGAAGGATATTGTGAAGGGCTGGTGTGTGATTTCTGAGCTAGGTCATAAAAGGTATTGCTGCTTCCTTACGCTTTCTTGGATTAATCACTCTAGAGGAGAGAGCCATCATGTTGTGAGAACATTTAAGTAGCCCTAAAGAGAGGTCCCAAGGAGGCAAGAAAATGAGGCCTCCTGCCAAGAGCCAGCACTAACTTGCCAGCCATCCTAGAAGTAAATCTTCTAGCTCCAGTCAAGCCTTCAGATAACCACAGCTTGGGTGGCATCTTGATTGCAACTTCACGAAAGGTTCCCAGCCAGAGCCACCCAGCTACACTTTTCCCAATTCCCTGACCCACAGAAACAATGTGAAATAATAAATTTTTCTTTTTGTTTTAAGATACTAAGTTTTGAGATGGTTTATTACACAGCAATGGCAACCAATGCTCTGATAAGGGAAAGCCTCCCATTGCTCTCCAGTGATGGATGTCGCCTTGCAGAACTTAGTTGTCTCGCTTGTTCGATCTCCCAGAAAATACACAAAATACTTAACACACGATGAACACTCAGTATTCGATTAACATTCTTAGAGAGCCCTAAGTGATGACAAAGTGCACCGTGGGAATGAATGGATGAAGGAGTGAGAAGGAGACAGCTAAAGAGAAACCGATTGGCCAGCCAAGGTGGGAGATAGAAATGCAAGCCCAAGAAAGCCAGCAGAAGACTATCTGGGAGGAAACGGAGGCCCCAACTGCACAGGTGTAGCCTCCACCAGGTGTTGGCCCACTTCGGTTCTAGCTGGTCTTGGTTCTGGGCCCTGTCCTCACCAGCGTGGCACCCTGGGCATCTATCCAGTCAAGGTCCTGGCCTGCTGCAATCATACAGTGGATATCCGAAATCATCTGCTGCTCGGGAGCTGCCCGCATCTCGTTGATTTTCTCTTGAGTGATGCCTGCAGGGGGAAGAGGGGATTAAGTCAGTGCCCCCAGGACTAGGCCCTCAGGTGGGGAGGGGAGGCAGATGGGGGGAGCAAGGCTCCTGTTCCCCAGGGTCTGCCAATCAAAGGAGTAGACAGACATGTCCACAGATGGTTGTCTTCTAGGCCCAGTGAACACAAACATCATGCACTGGCCCACGCAACAAGGGCCACCCCTGCCTGGCACCCAGTAGGCTCGGTAATGACATTGGTCACTGTTACAGATGCTGTTCTTCTACGTGGAAATCGTTACATTCCCACCTCCAACTGCTCAAATGGCTGGCTCTGTCTTACCTTCTAGGTGCGGCCTGGATCACCTCCCCAACTGCCCTCCCCTGACCAGGGTCTCTGTTAGTGTCCTTTATCTCGTGCACAGTTGTATTTGCAGCACCCTGCATGAGGCTCAATAAATTTTGTTATGGGAATGACTGAATTAATGAATGTGTGTCTTTCAAATGGAGAGTTGAGGTGGGTGGACCCAGAATGACATGTTAAAGCCTGAATCTCCGGCTAAAAAACATTAAGTGTTACTGGCAGCTACTAATGGTATTTAAAAAGAGAGTGACATGCTCTATGAAAAGGTCCACACTCGGCTAGAATCAAGGGAGGCCTATAAACTTGAAAGGAGAAAAAAGTCACATATTTATTTTCATTAACCTTTAAACGAAATATAACATTTCCTTCCATTAGAACATAGGTAAAGGCCACAGTAGAATTAACAGTGCCTGTGACTTTGTCACCAACAGAAACTATAGGTATTGTCATCTCATCTCATTTCATTGTTTCATGAATTAATAAAGTTTGTATATAACGCATTTAAAATTATTTGGGTAGCTTTATTTTAATATAATTGGTTTCCTTCACAATCCTATGGTTTGGGTAACAGCATATAAAAGCATGATTCTGAGAAGGGGCCATGGATTCACCAATCGGGCACAAACACTGTTAAGAACATCTGCAGAAGGTGAGTAGTTAGAGCCCACGTGCCAGGGAACAGAGCGACCACGTGGGCAATTATTGCTGGGATCTAGGAAGAAATACAAGGGCGGGGCCCTGACAGGACCTCCAGCTGCAGCGGAGGGTCTAGATTTGCGGTTCCCTCTGAGGAGGGGCTCCAGACGTATGTATGAGGGTGGTGGGGGCAGGCAGGTCTCTCTGACTGCTGCATTTGTTTCTTCTCTGAAGCTTATTTGTGTGAGGGAACAGCCCACATCTTGTTTACCCCGGCCCCTGGCAGCCAGCATGGTGTCTGGCAGGCACTCGCATATGTTCCTGACTTTTTATTATTTTCCCAAATGGGAATATATCTTTATTGTGACTGTTTATTGAATTGTCACAGCTGACAAAGAGGGGACAAGTCCAGCTGAGACAGCCCGCACGTGTGGGTGACACAGCAGAGAACAATACCTCCCTTCTACACAGCACATTTTCCAGGGTCCTGTTATGTCCTCATCTTGTTCATCACATGATAACAAGAATCGTGGGGACCCATCCATCTCCTGAGCGCTGAGCATGAGGCAGGCAAGTACAGAGCTTGCTACCTTGTTCACCTGCATTGGTTTGAGAGAAGCTCACTGCAATAGTGCCCTGAGCCCATTTACAACATGGGTCCTGCTCTTACCCTGGTATGCCATGCATGTCTCAATGACATCCAGCGTGGGCTCATCCTCACAGAGGTCATACGGCATGTTCCCGTCGGAGTTAACAGCAAGCAGGTCGGCCCCACTGCGAAGAAAGGGCCGGGGTGAGGGCCAGGGAGTTGTAGCTAGAGCTGGTCTGGCTGCCTCTGCCTTTAGCCACTCACTCGCAACCCCACGTCTCAACCAGCACCCACAACCCCACCAAGGTGCACCCAGCAAGGATCACGACGTCAGGATCCTGGGGGCCCTGAACGGAAAGAGGCCAAAATCCTAGGAGAGCTGGCCCAGCAGACCTCCCCCAGCTTCCCGCTCTGTCGAGCCAGCAGGCAGGCACGTGAGGACAGATGTCAAAGTCCTCCCTGGCAACAATAAGGAAAATAACATTAATGGCAGCAGCACCACTTACCAGGCATCCGCTAAGAGTCAGGCTTAATCTAAGTCCTTGATACACGTCACCCTATTTAACCCTCACAACAGTCCTCTCGGGTCGGTGTTGCTGGCCCCAGCTCACTCAAGGGGAAACAAAGACCCTGACAGGTTCAGTCACTTGTCCAAGGTTACACCACTGGGATGTGGGAGGGTCAAGACTCAAACTCAGGTCTCTCAGGCACCAGCCCTTTTCACTTCTCCATGTTCTATTTCAATCTTTGCCCACATGCAGAAACATCCTTGCTATCCCACACCTCCACCTCTAAGTCCCAGCCCAAAAGGCTGACCAGCACAGGGACAGGACAGAGCCTGGGGTTGCCTGGCAGAATCTGCTTTGGGGGCCACATGTGGTCCTGGGATGCTCTGCAGCGGAATTACCTGGAACTAAAATAAAATGTGGCTTCCGGGCTCCCCTGCAGTCCTCCTGAAAGAGTCTCCGCAGTGTGGGGCTCAGGTTGCACATTCTAAGCCGGTATCCTGCGTGATTCTGGTACAGATCAGGCTGGGGACTCACTGTACCAGGCTGGCACCACCCCCTGTTCCTCTCACACCATCACTGCTCAGGCTGTGGCCACTTGATGCTCCAGGCAGGCTTAGCCACACCCAGGTTCTCATTTGAGTTGTGCGCATGGGCCACCAGCCCTCCACCGTGACCTCTCTGAGCTCCTGTATACCCTTGGGCAAGCTAAACCACTGCTCTGAGGCAGGGCAGCAGTACTGTCATCTCCATGACCCAGCAGCCACCCAGTGGGCCCCTGCTGCTGCTCTGTCAAGACCTCCATAAAAGGTCACATGCTCTCAGCCACCCTTCCCGACACCCTGCACTCAGATGATCTCCTTGACCTCCAGGGGCCCCAATCCACTGGTCTCACTCTGTGTTGGCCCTGGTACCTAAATCATCTTATTTCCTGCCTGCTTCCTCTGGACTTTTGCATCCCTGGGTGCACAGGGCCTGGCCCAGCTCAAGTGCCCATGAATTATTAGATGAACTCAATTGAATGTTGCCTTTTTTGTGTGTTTATAGAACCTGAGCAGACTAAAAAGAATTTCAGGGACGGATAAAGACCATTAGAGCAGTATAAAGAGAAATAGCCTTATTCCTGGGAAAGATACTGTTGCTTGGAGCCCCCCAAAGCAAACATATAAACAGGATTTGGGAGCAGGGCCAAGAAAGTATGCTTGCTTTTTTTTTTTTTTATGATAGCAAGCAAAACAAAAATGGGAATAATACATAAACAGAGTGGAGGAGATGAACACAGACTCACGGACTCAGAGAAAAAGATATTTAAAAAAAGAGAACGATATCTTAATACCAAAGCCAGATGAAGACACTACAAGAAAAGAAAATCACAGACCCCTATGAACACATGCAAAAATTCTCAATAAAATATGAGTAAACCAAATCCAGTAGCATATTAAAAGGATTATATACCATGACCAAATGAGATTTATTCCTGTAATGCAAGGATGATTCAACGTATGAAAATGTATTGATTGATGTAACATACCACATTAACAGAATGAAAGAAAAAAACACATGATCATCTCGAAACAGAATAAGCATTGGACAAAATTCAACAGTCTTTCATGATAAAAACACTCAACAGACTAGGAATAGGGGAAAACTAACTCAACATAATAAAAGCCATATAAGAAAAAAACACAGTGAACATCAAACTTAATGGCAAAAAACTGAAAGCTTTTCCTGTAAGATCAGAAACTGCTTCCCCCACTTCTATCCAAAATAATACTGGAAGCTCTAGCCAGGGAAATTGGGCAATGAAAAGAAATAAAAAGTATCTAAATTGGAAGAGAAGAAAAAAGTTTTCTCTATTCACAGATAATATAATATCATATGTAGAAAACCCTAAAAATTCCACAAAAAATTTTTAGAATAAATGAGTTCAGCAAAGTAGCAAGATACAAAAGTCAATACACACAAATAAGCTGCATTTCTACAGACTAATAATGAACAATCTGAAAAGAAAAATGCAAAAATAATTTCAGTTACAACAGCATCAAAAAGAATAAAGTCCTTAGGAATTAATTTAACCAACAGGCAAAGGACTTGTACAGTGAAAACCACAAAGTGTTGCTGAAAGAAATGAAAGTAGACATAAATAAATGGAAACACATCCCATGTTCATGGATTGGAAGTCTTAATATTCTTAAGATGTCAGTACTATCCAAAGCAATCTACAGATTCCAAGTGATTCCTATAAAATCCCAATGATGTTTGTTTTGTTTTGTTTTTTTTTGCAGAAATAGAAAAATTCATCCTAAAATTCATATGGAATCTTAAGGACCCAAAATAACCAAACAATCTTGAAAAAGAAGAATGTGGAGAATTCCTGAGTTCAAAACTTACTACAAAGTTACAGTAATCAAAACAGTATGACACTGAAATAAAGGCACATAGACCAATGGAATAAAATCCAGAGCCCAGAAAAAATAAAGACTCTCACATATATGGTGTAACAATTTTCAGCAAGGGTGCCAAGACCATTCATTGGGGAAAGGAAAGTCTTTTCAATAAATGGTGTTGAGAAACTGGATATTATGCAAAAGGGTGAAGTTGAACCCTTGCTAACACCATATAAAAAATTAACTGAAAATGATAAAGATCTGAATATAAGACCTAAAACTATAACACTCTTAGAAACACAGGGCAAAAGCTTCATGACATTGGATTTGCTATCATTTCTTGGATATGACACTAAAGGCACAGGCAACAAAAGAAAAAACAAACTGGACTCCATGAAAAATTTTAAAATTTGTGCATCAAAAGACACTAATAACAGAGTAAAAAGACAACCCGTAGAATAGTAGAAAATATTTGCAAATCACATATATGATATAGAGAATTAAAACTCAACAATGAAACAAACAAAAAAAGCCCCACAAAATTCAAAAATGGGCAAAGGACTTGAATAGACATTTCTCTAAGAAAGATAGATAAATGGCCAATAAGCACCTAAAAGATGCTCAAAATCACTAATCATTAGGGAAATGCAACACTACTATAAGATACCAGCTCACACCTATTAGGATGGCTAATATATATATGTATATATATATATATATATATATATATATACACATATATATAATACACATATATATATATATAAGAAGATATACAGATGGTCAATAAGCACATGAAAAGATGCTGAACAATACTAATCATCAATAAAATGCAAATCAAAATCTTAATGATATACCATTAAGATAGTATGTATATATAAAACAAACTCAGAAAATAAGTGTTGGCAAAGATGTGGAAAAAGAGGAACCTTTGTGCACTATTGATGGGAAAGTGAAAATAGTGCAGCTGCTGTGAAAAACAGTATGGCTGTTTCTCAAAACGTTAAAAACAGAACTTCCATATGATCCAGCAATTCCACTCTGGGTATAAACTCAAAAGAATTGAAAGCGGGGTCTTGAGACATGTGCATAGCAGCATTATTCACAATAGCTAAAACCTAGAAGCAACCCAAGTGTCCACTGACAGACGAATGGATAAGCAAAATGTGGTGTACATATGAGCAATGAAAATATTATTCAGCCTTAAAAAGGAAAGAAATTCTGACATATGCTACAATATGGATAAACCTTGAGTATTGCGCTAAGTGAAATAAAATCAGTCAAAAAAAGACAAATACTTATAGGAGTTACCTAGAGTAGTTAAAACCAGAGGCAGAAAGTTGGTGGTTTCTAGGGGCTTGAGGGAGAGGTGAATGGAGAGTTATCGTTTAATGGCTATGGAATTTCTGTTTGAGAAGATTAGAGAGTTCTGGAAGTGGCTGGTGGTGATGGTTGCACGTGAATGTGAGTGTACTTAAAACCACTCAACTCTACACTTAAAATGGTTACGATGGCAAATTTTATGTCATGTACATCTTGCCACAATAAAATTTGGGGAAAGAAAGAGAATGAAAAGAGAGAGAGATAATGAAGAGAGACATATAGTGGAAAAGACAGGGTGAGACCAAGAGTGAAGGACAGAGATGGAGAGAAGAGAAGGAAATTTGGGGGAAGACGAGGAGAGAGGTAGAAACAGAGAAACAGGCAGAAACGAAGAGAGGATGTGGGGAGAAAGAGAAAATGACAGGCACTGAAAGACAGAGAAAGGGGCAGAGCGAGAAAAAAAGGGGGAAAGGAAAGAGATGGGGAAAAAAAAAACTGGAAAAAGCCAAAGGCCGATGGGAAGCTGTTCTTGGGGGATTTGGGGGCACGTACTACTGCACGAGGATTTTCACCAGGTTGATGTGGCCGCAGGTGGCTGCGGCATGCAGGGGCGTCCACAGCTCGTTGTCCTTGGCGTTCACGTTCGCACCATGGGAAAGGAGCAGCTTGACAATCTCCTCAAAGTTGTCGATGCAGCACTGAAAGGTGGACACAGGCAGTGTCAGCTCCAGGGCCCTGGTGGGGACACACCAAGTTCCCCTCGAGAGGCCATGAGAAGGACAGTGGAGCCAAACCACTTGAATCTGAATCCAGCTCCAGTATTTACATGCTGTGTGATCTTGGGCAAGCCACTTAACCTTCCTGAGCCCGCTTCTGTGTGAGTAAGTCAATAACATACAAGATAAAAATATAAAGGTATTATTTTTTATAAAGTCAGCTATAAAACATTTTGAAGATGTTGGTAGAATAAGACAAATATTTGAACGAGGCTTTAAAACCCTTTCTTTTTAATTCCAGAAGGCTTTCTCCAAACAAAATCTGTATGGAGAATTCTTAAATAACCAGTAGATTCAAACAGGGCTCCTCAGGTTGAAGCAGAAAGAGGGGGGAATTGGGGGAAGGGGTTAAGGGGATTCCCCTTCCTAGCAGTGGCCTCCAAGGTGTAGCTCTAGGTTGATCATGGTTTGAAAACTTTGACTTAAGAGTTTCTGACTCAGGAGCTCAGTTCTTGGGGAGCCTCAAATAACCAAACCTCTCCCTAAAGAACCCAGCTTCTCGGGATGGCTCTAGGGGTCCCAAGAGATAGTCCTTGCAAGAAGACAGCCATGTTAGTGCTTCTGCATGTCCACAGGTGTGTCAACCCCAGACAGAGGTAAAAGTCAGGAGTCTGCAGCCCCCCAAAGAGACTCAGGGTTCATTGGAACTTCTAACTCTAGGGACAGAGAGTGAAAAATTCCAAGGGGACAGAGAAGCCTCAGGCCAGGGTGATGGGCAGGGAGAGGTGAGAACAGAGGAAGAAGACAGAGCCACTTTACAGACTGCAGGATGGAGAAGCCAGTGCGGGGCTGTGCTGAGCACAGCCTATCCAGGTATGGGCTCGACCCTCAGTGCAACGGGAGACGTTGCAGAGTTATACTCAGAGGGGCAGCACTATCAGACTTGCTTAAAAAAAAATCCATTCTCTTGTTGCAGGTGGAGAACAGACTGCACGTACAGGCTTCTTTGGGGAGAAGAGGGATGGTGAGGAGCTATGTTAAAATCACCTAGATAAGAGACGATGGTGGCCTGGCCTACAGAAGTGACTGTAGGCATGGAGCGAAGCAACTAGATGCCCAGCAGAAGGTGGGGGGCGGGGGCACCTGTGGGGGCTCATGGCCCCAGGCGCGTGTGGAGACGGTAATGGGCAGCACCACGGCTCCCACCACCGTTGCCGCGGAGTCAGGGCTCAGCGACAGAAGGACATGTGGGAAAGGAGCAGTTGTTTACACAGATGTTGCCAGAGACTCAGGTTCTCTTTTGTCGCCAACCAGTCTGGGTTTGGCTGGGGCTGAGGGCAGCTCTCCTGATAGGCAGGGAACAGGTGGGTCTGGGCGCATGCAGCAGCACAGGGCGGCCGGCAGAGGGCGATAAAGGCGCCGGAGCGAGGTGGCGAGGAAAGTCCAGGGGCCCCAGGCTGTCAACGGGAGATGAGCCATAGGAGGAGCAGCCTAGCCCCTGGGGTCAGAGGACAGGAAGACCAGAGATCCCACTCTTAGGGGCTGCAGAAAATGAGAGGATGACGGGGTGAGGAGAGGTGTTAGGTTGAAGGGGGAGAGGATTGTGCACTTAGAATTGCAGTCTTGTGACAGGGATGCCCAAGGGCTAAGCAGCTTGCACCTAGGAGACGTGGTCTGAACAAGGGCTGGGTTGGGTGAGAGCTGGGTACAGGGGTGCAATGGGGCGAGGGTGGGGGGGAATACGTGGTGGAGTGGGCATGCCTCCCTTCCTGTGTTCCCCAAGGTGCCAAACCAGCACCTGGCAGTTGGATGACGGCTCTGCCCCCTCACTTCCCACATCCAATCTTTCACGGGGTGTGGATCCCATCTCCTAAACGCTGCCCCATTCCCACTGCCCTGGTTGAAGCTTCATCCCCTCTCCCACCTGCCCCCCACTCCCCTTCCACACACCCTCCAGGAGAGGGCTTCCTCTTTAATCCAGGCACATTGCTTCCTGCTTCCATTTACAAATCTCTGAAAGCTCCCTGTTGCCAAGAGAAGCAAATGCACACTCCCTAGCAGGCCTAGGAAGCTCTCATTAGTGTGATCCCTTGTTGTATTAGAGCAATGGTGACAATAATAATGACAGCAATAATGACAGCCCCAGCAACAGCAGTAATAATAACAGGCCACATTATCAATAATAATAGCTAATGCTTTTTGAGGAGTTACTAAGGCCACCCATCTGGTTAACCCTTGGCCACACCTTGCCTCATTTAATCCTCAGAACATTTCGAGGGCTCTAGTTGCTGTGGCTGCTAGCCACCGTACTGGACAGTGCAGATACACAGGACATTCCATCGCTATAGAAAGTTCTATTACACAGTGCTACCCCTGAGCCTCAATTTCCTGAGCTATAAAATGGGGATAATAATATTTCAGAGGGTTGTTGTGAAAATCGACCCTCATTTCACATAAATGAAGTGGCTTTGCAGAGAAATGAACATGTGACAAATCTTAATAATGATTATATCTAATATTTATCCAGTGTCAAGTGATGCTTGCAGGAGTTTTATGTGAATTTGTTTAATCCTCGTAACAACCCAGTGAGATGGTGCTTGCTTTCCTTTTACAGATGAGGAAAGTGAGGCACAGAGAGCTTAAGCAACTTGCCCGAGGTAACACAGCTAGAATTTGCGGACGCCTGAAGCCTTGTGAAACATGAGAAGTGGAAAGGACACAGAGAAAGACACTGGGCTGTTGGCTGAGGGTGGGGACTTGCCCCCGGGGCTTATGGGTAGGGCAGTGGTCTGTCTCTGCCCAGCCCTTCCTGCCCTCATTGAGTGATGTAGATTCTCTCACCAGCCAGGGTTCCGGCAGCCTGGCCTCCTGTCTGCCATGCTACTTGGGCCAGGGCACAGGGAGGCTTCAGTGCCTTCATTCATTAAGTCAGCATGCACATATTGAGCACCTACTGTGTGCCAGCATGGGGAAAGATGCTGGGATATACTAATGGGCAAGAGACGTGGGCTCTGCTCGTATGCGGCTCAGAGTCTGGATAGGGGGGCCCAACATCAAATGATCGTGCTCATGGCTAAAATGGCAAACAAATGGGGTGCCCAGGAGAAAAGGATGTGAATACAACAGCTCTCAGGCTCTTGTTGTCAACTGGGGATCAATGGTGCATGTGGGAAGTGTAGGGAGCAGCACAGTGTATACAAGGAAACAAAAAGCCATGTGGCTGGAACATGGAGGGCTTGTCAGGGGCCAGGCCTCGTGAGACCTCGTGGGAAGTCACCCAACCACTTTGAGTACCACTTTTTGGCTTGAGAATCCCTGTGGCCGCTGCATGGACAATGAATCACGGCAAGGCCGACTAAATGCTAGGGACCAGTTAGAAGAGTGAGAGCAGCATCTGGGCTGGAGATGACGGTCAGCAGCCCTTCCCCAGCCAAGGGGGGCCGAACTCATCGCACTTCCCTAGAAGTTGTATGTTGTGATAGCATAGGTTGTATGTTGTGATAGCACATGGTGCACGGCTATAGTTCACGGCTGTGTACTCTTCAGCGGGTCACATGACTCCTCTGCCAATCACCTTCGTCACAGGGTGGATGAATGTCTTGGTGGGTGTGAACAAATGTGCTTCATAAACTGTCAAGCTCCAAACAAACTTGCTTTGTTTGTCAAACCCTTTGCTGGGCAGTGAGGACGCAGTAGACAAAGACTCCCTGTCCTCAGAGGCTGTGTGTGTACCACGCGTGCGTGCACGGGAGCTCTGTGGGTGTGTTTGTAACAAATACGCATGTCTCCAAAGCAGACAAGAGCTTCTCAGATGGGGCAGCTGCGGCTCCCCTTCCTTCCCTCCACCCTGAGTGTTCTGAGCAGGAAAAAGCAGGGGACGGGGTGCCTGTCCAGGTGAGGAGCAGGGAGCTGGGGACTCCAGAGGGCCCGGCCTTACCTGGTGCAGGGCTGTGAGTCCATCTTCGTTGCACAAATCAGGGCTGACCTTATTCTTCAGGAAGTAGCGTACTGTAACAGAGGGGACAGGAATGAGCTGCCCTGTCACAAACCAGGTGTGCAGGTATTCAGGGGGGCCCAGGTAAGACCTACTCTTCTCAGGCCTGGACACAAATGGCCTTGCATGTTTATACTGCTTTGGGACATTATAAATGGGAATTAGCCCCATCATCAGCTGTGAAAACCCTTTCGTGACTCTCCACTGCTCTGGGAACAAAGTCCAGAACTCTGCCCATGAGTTTATCCCTGCCTGCCGGCCTCCATCTTGCACAGTTTCGGGAGGCACCACTCACACCGTGGTCTATGAAACCGGCACCCCCGGAGCAGCGCTGTGCACGCCCCACTCAGCCGTTCACAGTGCTCCTACCCTCCCTCCTCTCCAGTCTCATTTCTTAAACTCCAAACACCTTCAACAATGAATGGCCTTTTGTCAGCTACAGAGTCACCTCACTTCTTCTTGACCTCTGAGCTTTTGCATAGCCCGTTCCCACTGCCTGGAAGACTCAGTCCATCACCCATCCTCCCTTGTCCATGTATCTATCTCTAACACACACACACACACACACACACACACACACACGCCCCTGCCTCACTCCCCACTCCTCACCCTGTATGTCTCAGCACTCACTGCTCCTATGCATCTCATTTATAGCCTTATCACAAGCACAAGTACGTAACTATGTGGGTAATTATGGGCTTCGGGTCTTCTATCATAGGACACTAAGCCCCAAGAAGGCAGGACAGTGACCTGGCACTTATTGCACTTTCCCTAAAGCCTGATACATAGTAAGTGCTCAACAACTGATCCAGGACCCCTAGTCAGTAGCCCCATAGCTCAGTCCAGGACACAGCTTCTCCGTCTATGAGCCAAGCAGGCCACCCTCTGGTGCTGACCCCAGCTGGCTCGTGTCTGTAATAAGCAGCACAGCCCACTAGTCCCTCCTGCAGAGCCATGGATGACATGGTAGCTGGGCCCAGCCTCAGGGCCATGAGAGGACATTATGGTAAAGCCACTGATCACCAAGGCCCAGCCTGTCCATGGGCCAGTGGGGGTGCCCTAGGCCTGGCAGGGGGCCTCAGGAGAGTAGAAGTGGCCATTATTTCCCTGTCCAGGATGGGATGCTAGAAGGTTCTGTTCACATGAGGCAAGGGTTCGAATCCCACGGGGGTGGGTGGTGGACCAGGCTTCCTGACCAGGAGACACTCTGTGAGGCAGAAACTAAGCATCAGCTGCCAAAAGCGATGTTTGTGTGCAGTAATTATTGGGGTGTTCTCCATGCCATGTGGGAGCCCAAGACATATAATTACAATGTCGGGCAGTTATTTTCAGCCCAAGAGGTGGGACAAGTCACCCCCATCTCTAAGAACCTGTTACTATTCATGAGCCAGGGTCCCCTCCGTGGTTTTACTTCTGCTCTAGCTGGCAGCCTGGTTCTGGACACAGCTCTCTGCAGCAAAGACCCCACTAGCCAGGGCACAACCAGGCTCTCCTGCCTCTGAGGTTCAGGAAGAAAAATGATTCTCCTATCAACAGTATCATCTTACTGAGTCCTTTTGATATGCCCAGGTCAATGCAGAACCACTTTCTTTTACGGGTTTTTGTCTGTAATTGCTCCCCTTATGGAGAAGAGGAGACAGAGGGTCAGGACAGTGCAGCTCACAGTCACACACGGTCAAGCGCAGGAAATCGGACCCTCTGATTTCGAAGCCCGGCTGATGGGCACAGGGCTGCTCCACTCTGCCCCTGAGGCCAGGAATGGGAGCAGGCACTCCTGGAGCTCTGCTGAGTGACCAGACCTGTGCTGAGAGCTAGCGTGGGGTGGAGGGTGACCGGAGAATGGATAGCAGTGACCTCTGCTTCTGTAAGCATCGGAGGCCCTCGGGTCCCAAGCCAAGCCTCTTTTTACAGACAGAACAGCTCAGGGATCCACAAACAGAACAGAAGAAACACTGCAACCCTTGAGGGAGTGGGGCCCAGTCAGATCCTTGAGGGGAGGGGCATGTTAAATGTAAATTTGCCTCCTCTCACTCCCTGCTTAAAACCCTTTTGTGGCTCCACCTTGCTCTTAGAATGAAGTTCAAAATCCTTCCGTGGCCTTCACTGGTGTTGGCAAACCATGGCCCATGAGCCAAATCTGGCAGGCAGCCTGTTTCTGTAAATTAATTTTCATTGGAACACATCTGCACTCACGCATTTATGTACCGCTTATGACTGCTTTCACCCCAGCAGAGTTGAGTAGTTAACAGTCTAAAATATTTTCTATCGGGCCCTTTACAGAAAAGATTTGCAGACCCTGGTCTTCCATGTCCTCCATGGTATGGTCCCGCCTACAGGGCTCCCACCTTGCACAATTCCAGAGGAATTACACAGTCATCGTTTATGTGAACGGCTTGCTCTGTGCAGTGCTCAGCCTGCTCTGCCATACCCAGCAGCCCCGTGTCCCTGCCTCACCAGGCTCATCTCTTGCTCTCCAAGCACCTTACAAAACAGAGGAAGTTGGTCTGGCAGGGCCTAAGAGGTCGACGGAAGCTCAGGGAGCACAAAGAGGGAGCATCACCACTTCTCATTGCCCACACTCAGGTCTGCTCCCTGCCCCCAAAACCCTAACTCCCGGGCCTGGCCATCGGTTTCTCAGAGTGACCCATCTGTTCTCGTGCATCTGTTTAGCTGTGGCTTCAGGCAAGTTATTCCTCCTCACTGTGCCTCAGGGTCCTGTTCTGTAAAATGGGGTCGCAACAGTGCCTCCTTTGTGGGGTCGCTATGAGGATTAAATGAGACAACACCTGAGAGCTACTACTATCATTTCTTTTAGAAATAAAAATAAAAAACGACCACTGAACTCCTGCCTGGTGACGCCCTGTGCTGGATGCTGGGGATACAACCATCGACATCTCACATTTCTCAAGAGCTCTGGACCTGGTTGTAAAAGACAGAGGCTCTCTCTCCCAACAAGGGGCTCCAAGCATCTGCTGATCGAAGACCACAGCGAGGCCACAATTGAGGTCCCCATAAGCCCCCTGCAGGGATAGCAAAGAAGTGGCTCCCTCCCTCCTCTTATGTATTCCCGCTCCTGGCACCAACCCCATCACTCTGCCCACACCTCCCTGGCAATCTGGCTAGAATCTGGGCCAAGCAGGGCCATCTGCTCCCCTCTATCTCCAGCTGTAGCGAATGAGGCTGAACCAGCCCATCTCAGCCGGAAGCTGGTGGTTGAGAAATCACCACTGACAAGCTTGTGTTTTCTTTGCCACCTGACCCATTCTGCTCCACAGAGTAGACTGCCCGACCTCAAGCTGGTCAGCAATGTGTAACCACAGATGTGGTTCCTGTTCTCACCTTGGGGGAACAGGGACAGCACAAGAGAGGTGTCTGCCCACTGGAGATGAACCTGGGGCAATCAACATCTGCTGGGGGTGCCCTGAAGCTGAGCTGTTGCAACCCGGCCATATGACTTCCACAGTCATGTTCATGGGGTACCTGCTCACCAAGTCCTCCTCCCTCCCCATTTCACTTCCTCTCCCACCCGGCACCCAGCAATGTGACCTCATCTTCCCACCGCTGCCAAGACTCTGCAAGTCCCTGCCCCTCCCCACTCCCACCTCATCCCATCATTCCACCTCCCTCCCCCATCGCTCACTGATTCAGTTACAATGGTTTCTTTCATTTCCTAAAACAAAACAAAAACAAGCTCCTCGAGTACTTTACGCACATTCTCTCTCCCCATTCTAAAGCCAGCAATCTCCTCCTCATCCTTCAGATTCCAGCCAAAATGTCACCTCCTCTGAGAGGTCTTCCTTGATCACCCCAATCTCAATTGAGTTACCTGAGTTTTCTCTCCCACAGTATCTTGCACTTCTGCATTTTTGCTTCACAGCAGTACTTATCCCAATTTGTAATTATAGGGTGATTAGTTAACATAGAAATATTATATAGTTATTTGTTTAGTTCTGGAGGGGGAGGGCTCCATGAGGACAGAGACATGTCCGTCTCATTGACTGGTATCTTCAACATCCACCATGAAGCCTGACTCATCGCAGGGTCTCAACCTGTTGTAGCGAGGATACCTGAAATGTATTCCCTTAGCAAATTTCCAGTACTCAGTATTATTATTAACTAATAGTCATGATGTGCATGAGATCTCTAGGTTTATTCATCTTACATAACTGCTGCTTTGTACCCTTTGACCAACATCTCAAACAACAGGTAACTATATGAGGAGCTGGATATGTTAATTAGCTTGACTGTACTAATCATTTGACTATATATAAACATCATCTTGTACATCTTAAATACATACAACTTTCACTAAAAAATAAACTTAAAAGAAATATCTATTGTGTGAATGAATAAAGGAAGGACTAGAGGAAGGGGAGAAAGGCTCAGGGCCCACAGGGCTGCTTATTCCCACGGCCGTGGGACAGTGGGGACATGTGCCTTGTCCCATGGACATGGGGCACCCCAAGGAGTGTGACTCGAGGACTGAAAGGCAGATAGTATGGATTCTGAACAGAAACGAAGCAGCAAATACCCCTCCCTGAGCCTCCATTGTCAACGCAGCAGGACCTAGCGGCTGACCGTAGGCATCCCTCAGCTCCACTCCCAGGCCAGGGCACTTGACATTTTCCTCCCACTCCGGACCCCAGTCCTCACTCCCCCTGCCCTGTGCCCTCCGTTGCTCTCTCTACGACCCAGCATCAACTGTGTGCCATGCCTGGTATTAAGTGCTTTATATCCATTAGATTGATCAGTCCTTCTAATCCAGTTACAAAGGTTAATGACCTGTTATTATTAATTAATTGGCTGCTATTATTGCCCCAATTTACAGGTGGGAAAACTGAGGCTCCATCTTGAACATGTGAATGACTTGCCCAAGGGCAAGTGGCTGAGCATAGCAAAGCTGGGATTTTAACCCAGACCTGGCTGACTCCAAAGGCCAATCACTTGGCCACTTCGTTAAAATTCTGCCAAACAAGGACCCAGGTGAAGTGAACATGGGTAGCAAAGAAAAATG